CCCCAAAACCCCAAAACCCCAAAACCCCTTATGAGCAAATTTCTTTAATAATCTAAATAATTTTTACATTTAAATTCAAATTAATTTCACAGAAATGGGAAAAACATTAACACCAGAGCTGATTTAGATGAAATGCAAGACAGATAAATTAGCAAATATAAAAAATCTCAATTTATGGGGAAATGACTTAGAAGACATTTCATTGATTAAAGACATGCCAAATTTGGAGATATGCTCATTATCCCTAAATAAAATTCAGAGTTTAAAGGATTTCTCTACTTGTAAAAAATTGGCAGAACTTTATCTTAGAAAGAACCTTATTTAAGAGTTACTTGAAGTCAAGTGCTTAAATTAATGCCCTCAGCTAAAAGTTCTTTGGCTGCAAGATAACCCTATTGCAGAACATCCACTATACAGGTAGTATATAATAAAGCTGTTACCCAACTTATTAAAACTAGACAGTGCTGCAGTTACTCCAGAAGAAAAATAGCAAGTGGCATAAACCAATTTTACTGATTTAGACATTATTAATAATAACCCTATTTAAAGCTAAAAATCGGTAATATCTCTTTTCATTTATAAGTTTGCTTGATATTTTTTATATAGAAGCATGTTGATGATTAGGCTTATCATTAGAAATAGGAAAGACCAAGAAGTGTTAATCCCTTGATCAAGTCAAAAGCTGATTTCATCAATCCCTCTTAATAAATGCAATAGCCTTAACAATAGTAGCAATAAATGAACATTTAATCCTAAAATCAATCTAATTTATAATCTCAGCCTAATCATAGGAATGAAAACATCTTATGTGCTGTTTTAGCCTTACTTAAAGAGCTAGATGAAAATGGATTGGAGCTGGTAAAAAGGGATGTTGAGAAAAAAATATAACTTAAGAAGTAGGGTTAATGAAACTTTTTATAAGGATATGTAATCATTTGAGTATACTTAATTTTTTTATTTTAACTTATTAAAATATTAACTTATTAATCTCTCAATGGAAGAGTTCTCAGGGTATAATTTGATTATGCTAATAATTATAGAATAGTACTAGAATATGTCGCTAAATTATTAGCCCCAGATAGCATTATTGCTTAAGCAAGAGAGATCAAGTATTTTCATCGAATTAATAAAGAAAATTTAGAATGGATAGTGTTGAAAAATTAGAGTCAACATTGAAGTCATAATAATTGCTACCTGGTGACCTCATTCTTATTAGAACTCCGTCGTCTATTTATGAGGCTTTTAGAAGACTTGGAGAATCTTACTATGACCATATTGTAAGATCGAGTACTGTAATAAAAATTATCTGTAGGCTGTAGTTTTGGATGATTAACTGAGTTTACATATTTCTTATCCAAGAACAAAGGTAGTACCAACTATACTATTTACTCACAAGAAAAAGTAGCCACTCATCATTAGACCAAACTACAAATCAGATTAGCAAAGAGAATAATTTCTATAGACTATATAGAAAATGTCGATGGGAAAATAGTATGACTATTATAGGATTATTTAAGTATTAATAAGCCAGTCTCTGTTTGAGACAAAGAAGTATGAGGATAACTCAACAAATAAGATAATCTGTTCTCATCAAATATATTTAGCTTTGTCCTAGACGATGAAAACGATAAATGATTAGGTCTCAAGGAGTAATGATTATGAAGTGCATAAATTAGGAACATTTACATTAAGTGATTTCATCAAATTAGCTTAGAAAAACCCCAAGGACTTTGATTGCTTCTCGCTCTACTCGCTTGATGAACTAAAAGAGAATTCTGACACAAATCTAAATTTTGAGGGAGTTGAGATTACACTCAATGAAGATAAGCAAATAGGTAAAATTGAAAGTGTCATGAAACTTATTGGCATGACTAAACTTAAAGATTTGATTGAAAGGTATGAAGTACTCTAAGTAGTGTCATTAAAATCTTTACATCTAGCTCAAAAACTTGTAATGATGAGGAAGTAGATTGTTCTTGCTATTACAGTTCTTAAAATGATTCAGATAATAGTAAATTCATACCGTGATTACTAGCAAACAAATAAAAACTTGCAAAAGGATAAATCAAGTCTTAAAAAAATCTTGGAGATACTTTCTCTTCTTACTTAAATCCTGGTTGTAATGTAAGACTCGAAGGAAACTTTATCTACTAAAATTCTCAAACCTTTAACTAAACTCATACTAGTAACTTACACTGGAGGTAAAGAGGACTTTAAACTGAAGACATTGAAGATTGCTAACTTTGTCCTTACTTTATAAGAGAAAATAAAATCTACGTTCAAATTATGAGAATAAGATAAATATATATTAAGGATATATTTAATTTGAAGCTAAACTGTAATTAAGTAATTATGTACTAGATAATTGGTATTTGCGTGAAGTACTTATTAAGCTTAATTAAGAATTTATTCTTGCATATAATTTTTAACAATCTTGTACTTAAAACTTCATAAGTTGAATATTTCGCTTCAAATCAACAATTCTTCAGCTGAGTACTAGTCTACTATCAGTATTAGCTTGTTTAATCTATCTTCTCCGGAGAATTCGTAGCAGTTTTTCTTTATTACTCTTAATCAAAGCCTTCTAGAAAAGTCTCGAATAGTTCGATGCCTTACTTTTTCCCTTCATAGAGATAGTTTTCAAGCTACTTTCTATCTAGGTTTCTAAATAAGCAAGCTAGCGTACAGATTTCGAGATTTCCTATTTCTCCCTTATATTTCTGGAGATTTAGTTTATCCTTTAGGTCAGCTCTTGTGTCTAGTTTCCCACTTTAAGTACGCTTTCTAAAGTCCTTAAAACGCTCTGCATGTGGAGTCTTCGCAATTTTTCGTATACTTCTAAATTTGTCTTCTTCATGACTTGAAGTTCTGATTCTAGCTGTTGGAACAAATTAGGTGTACTCTGAATTAGATCTCTTTAAGCATCTCAATAGGGTTTATATTTTTCCGCTCTCTTCGTAGAGATGATTGATTTATTGAACAAACATTTCAATTTTCTCTTATGATTTGGTATCCTAATCTATTTTGAAGTTTAGATGGCTTGATGTGTACAAAAAGTGATCATTTTTTCGAATCAAATGCTTAAATTGTTCGATTGACTATTTGCAGCAGTAATGTCTGTTTCGTTCAATTAAAAGGTCCTTATCATCAAAATTATCATCATCATCAATGTCAATTCTGAGTTTGCTGCTCTTATTAGTATTTTCATTTTCATTTTGTTGATTTGAAGAGGATAGCATTAGGTTTCTCTCATCTAAACTGATATTTAGACTTCTGAGCATTGATCTATTCTAGTCTTTGTGGCATTTAAGAGTCCTGTCGTAATCTAAATTTTCAACAGAAAAATGATCTTCACATATAACCACTTTTGAACTATGGACCCTAAATACAAAGAATTCTGGAACCTTATTTTTATAAGTAAAATCGAAAAGGCAAACAGGCCATTTTTCTTTGCAAGTCAAGGATTCTACACATTCCGTCTTAAGAATGTCAAAACCAGTTTATTTTGATTACAACGTCTTGGCTATACCAGTAAACAAGTAAAACTTATTAAGAAACTTCACTCTATTAATACTTGAATTGATAGATTCTTTTATTTCGATCTAAATACCCTAGATTTCATCAATTACAGGTTATCTCCATAAATCACGTTTTTAATTAATTTGTCTCTCACTAACTTTATATCTTGGCATGCTTGCGACTTGAAAAAGAGCTTCATAGTTAGACATTTTTGAAGAAAAGTTTTCCATTGTTTAAAATATTTATTCTATAACTTTCTAAGTATATATAATCTTACAAAAATCTTGTGTTTATATCAGGTCCTATTTGATAAAGTGGATGACTGCTAGAGAAAATCTGAAAAGTATCTTTACTCCTTTCAAGAAAAATAGATCCCAAAGTCTGATTAGTGTCTAAATTGAAATCATTAGTTAAATTTTCTTACTTTAAAAGGAACATTGTAGGCAAAAAAGCATGCAAACCATTAGAAAGTTATGAGTGATGGATCACATCCTAACGACATCAAATGGCCAAAGAGATCTGGATATTTTTCCTAAAATATTTAGCTGAAAACTTTCTAGTCAACAAGTGCTCCAACCATATTTGAGTAGTAATCAAGAGGCATTAAATTCTCAATTATTGAAGAAAATGTCCAAAATGCTTCCTAAATATTAATAAATATTGATTTACCTCTTCAGTAAGAACTAGCAATAATCTAGCAACTATAAAGTTAAAACCTTAACAGTAACCTATTGTGGGATTTTTAATAGAATAAGCTCTAAGAATGTTATCAATCTTTTAAATCATCTAGGGATTCTTGTATATGGCCTCCTCTTAGAAGGTTCTATTTAGATCAACTTAGATTTGCTTGAAATTTGGATTTGGAAAGCTGTTTTAAGTGTATTTGAGGAGCTGTGCATACGATTAAGAGGGATCACAGTTAAACATCTGCCTTAAAGCCCCAGAAGCAAACAGCCAAATATATCTTCTATCAAAATCTGAAATTTGTCCTCTTTTGATAAATTAGTACATGTTAAGTTTGTCATATTTACTTGGTATTTTAGGTAACCTTGAATACTAGAAAAATTTTTAGAAATTTAAATAATTTTACATCAAAGTGAGGGACAAATATATAAGGAGATCTGATCCCACTCATATATGACCCGTCATTAAGATCAAAAGAATTATTAGGACTAAATTAATTCTTGACAGACTAGGATTATTCAAAATCATCTAAATTTCGTTATTTCTGCTTATTGTAATTAATAATGGTCAATATTTGAACATATTCTTAAACATAGTATGAATGACTACTTACCTAGGTTGTTTAGCTTATTGCTCTAGTCTATACTACTAATTTCCTGCTTGTTATTTATGTTTTAACTATTTTGACTGCTTTTCTCTGGAGTTTACATCATTTTTTCATCATCCCATGAAGACAATACCTCTGAATTATTCATTTCAATTAGATCGAATTCTGATCTATTATTGCTTCGATTATCAACGCACATTTGGGTGTTTCTCCTTTTATTTTACACTTTATTACTCTAGACATTCTTAGATTTGTTTTCTCTCGTCGACTCATCTTGCTGCCCATTAGAGACTTGCTCCTCACTTTTACCCCCAAACTTAATGCTGTCTTTTTGATTGCTTCTAATAATTTAATTCTCTTATATAAGAGGTTACTGCTAGTATTATTGAGAGTTAGAAATATTTTAAGTGTCCTTCCCATTGAGTTAAAGATCAGAACTCTTGCGATAGGCAACTCTTTGTAAAGAATTTTCCTTTTATCTTGTATTAGTAACAATTTATTGCTTAGGCTAACTTCCAGTGTGCTAATTAGAAGTGAAGTCCATATTATAATTATCAAATTGAGACATAGTCAGGTAATCCATTGAATAAATAATAATTATCAATTAAATAATGACTTATTAGTCATATTTTATCAGTTTTTCCTTAGGGGTTTTGGGGTTTTGGGGTTTTGGGGTTTTGGGG